CTGGCAGGTTGTTTGGATGTGTCAAGTGCGTCTGGAAAATGCAACTCTTGAATTAGAGACACATGGCAGCCTTTCCAAAAGAGCAGCAATATCAATATTTTAGATTTCACTGAAACCCATCAGGGTTTACAACAACACCTCAATCACCTCTGCCAGGCTCAGACAGTTGGGGTCTGGGATTTTATTTTATTTTTTAATTTATTTTATAAATATTATAATCATTATCTAACTCTGCACCAGATGTCTGCTGGGAAGAGTGACTATGTTTCTTTAACATGCCACATCCATGTGTTTTTATAATATACAAACACAGTATATGTATATATATATAAAATATATATATATCTACAATGTACACCTTGCAGATAAAATCAGAAATGCATTATCACTGCCTAAGAGGACTTTGTAGTGGCAAAGTTGAATGAAGTTAATTTTTATCTTACATGTAATCACAGTAATACAAAGAAATGTTCCAACCTCTGAGTAAATAAAGGTCATTTTTATTATGTGTCAGACTGGTTAAATTGTTTATTTATTTCATTTACCTGCTGTTATAATATGGGAAATCCTTTTTAAAAAAAGCTGCTGTAAAGGCAGTTGCAAAAAACCATAATCAACCCTGTCATAAGTAGCCAGGTTACGGGGACGTCTCTGAAACAGCTGACCTTTCCGCGGTATTATTCAAGATTTTAAATCATCTATAATGAGAGACAAAGGTAAGACAAAAGTATTTTTGCTTGAATCCCAATGTTTCAGTAGCTTGTAGAACCATCTTTTGCCGCAATAACTTCAAGTAATCATTTTTATATGTTGTTTTACACCTGGATGTGAAAGAAGGTGTACTTTCTTTTTCACCTAACTGCATGAAAATATATGCATATATATTTATTTGTAGTTGAGAGATTGTATCCCCTGAAAACAAGTTCAATCACAAACAAGTTCAATATCTGCAAGAGTTCATCTGTGCAATGATTTGTACCTTGTACTTTTTTATGTCTATATGGTGAGTAAATCTTGGTTGCATGTTAATGTGTTACATTTTTATTACACTTATTCTTTCAGGTAAATTTTGTTCCTGCAGTAAGTTAAACTGAAAACCTCCCTCACCTTTCTCCTATTCCCACTGTACGAGTTCCAAGAATTTGAACACATGACTCGTCAGGCACCTTTTGAAAAAGAAACACATACAGCGCAGTTACTGACACTGAGAGGAGAAATGGCGCAGAAAGGAGTTCAGCTGGACCGAGAAACCTTCTCTTGTTCGATCTGTTTGGATCTACTGAAGGATCCGGTGACTATTCCCTGTGGACACAGCTACTGCATGAACTGTATTAAAAGCTTCTGGGATGAAGAGGAAAACAAGAAAACCTACAGCTGCCCTCAGTGCAGACAGACGTTCACACCTGACAGACCTGTTCTGGAAAAAAACACCATGTTATCAGTTTTAGTGGAGAAATTCAAGAAGACTGGACTCCAAGCTGCTCCTGCTGATCACTGCTATGTTGGACCTGAAGATGTGGCCTGTGATGTCTGCACTGGAAGAAAAATGAAAGCAGTGAAGTTCTGTTTGGTCTGTCTGGTGTCTTACTGTGAGAAACACCTTCAGCCTCATTTTAGGTCTCCTGCCTTTGGAAAACACAAGCTGGTGGAGCCCTCCAAGAAGCTCCAGGAGAACATCTGCTCTCAACACGATCAGATGATGAAGATGTTCTGCCGTACTGATCAGCAGAGTATCTGTTATCTCTGCTCTGTGGATGAACATAAAGGCCACGACACAGTCTCAGCTGCAGCAGAAAGGACTGAGAGGCAGAGAGAGCTGGAGGTGAGTCGACAAAACATCCAGCAGAGAATCCAGGACAG